TCGGAAAACAGACTAGGTATCTATTAATATGTCATCGAAATTCTTTAATCCTCGAATAACTAACAATCGAGGATCGATTGCGTCCGTTTAAAGAACGCGACGATTTTTATCTCAAATTAAAAGTACAAATATATATCCTTCCTTCCTTGCCAGTTTTTAGTCCACCTTGTATATCAAGGAAACGGGAAATTACACGATTCTCGTCAACAGTATTGTTACACTTCTGAGCTCGAACACTTAGGTCCAGTTTCGCAAACGTCTAATAGCCAATTTCTTCACCGTCGGATAACTATCTTTCGGTTAACCTCACTCTTCATCCCTTTCTAATGCCCATTTCTACCAATGTAGATTAACTTTAATCTAGGTTTAACTTTACTTTCTATCCTCTTCTAACTCTTGGAACTAGGAAAAGATGACAGGTAAGTTAAACGAAGATTAAAATTAACCTGCGTTGATAGAAATGGACATAAGGGGACAGTTAGAAAGAAATGAAGAGTGAGGTTGACCGAGGCAAGTTTCACCAACGTTGATTAACGCCGTAACCTTCGATTAAGCTCACTCTCCATCTCTTTCTAACTGTCCCCCTTAGAAAGAGACGATAAGAGTGAGTTATTTAATCGAAGGTTATACAGTTAATCGAAGATGGTGAAACGCCGGCCCTGATAAGAGGGACGTTAGAAAGAGACGAAGAGTGAGTTAACCCAAAGTTCAAAGTTAACCGACGTTTGTGGAACCGGGCCTTGACGATTCACTGAGCTCGAGCTACGCGGAAAGGAAGGAAACGAGAAGCAGCGGGATATTAATATCCGCCCGTGATTCGTGCCAGCTTTCGCAGCTTAATTTCACGAAGGAACTTTCTTCCGTCCGTCGTGAGAGATCAATCGCGAGAACAACGAGCCAGCCGGAAAGTCGTCTGCAATCAACCCGCAAAGCTTGAACCCAGCACCATGTCCAAAATCGAGACACAAGACATCTTTTTACGAAAAAAAAAAAAATAGCTAAAGACGTCTAAAAAATGTCTCACGTCCCGATTTTGGACACGGTGCTGTCTGGAAAACCTCTCACGGCCCAAACTGCGAATAAGAGCGCGCCTAATATCGGGTACTGAGATTCGCGCTCCGTAGAAATTCATTCACTTTACCGTAAAAATCTTCGTATATCGTGGAAACGCGAGAACATCGCTAGAAAGCGGGCGCGTGAAATTCACGCCGTGCATGAAATCGCGACCGCGCGAGCATCGCAAAATGGAGCACGATCGCGACGCGCGGTTCAACGTTCGACGTTCGATTCGCGTACCTCATCCTCCTCCCCTCAAAAAAGAAATGTTCCGGCTTACCTTCCACTGTCCGCTCAATCGTCAGCCCCGCCGTGAGGAGATAGAGAAGAGACACATCCGTCAGCTGGTCGTCATCGTCATACTAAACACCCGTGGACGATCGCCTCCAGCACCGTGATCAACACCGTCGCACAATCACTGACTCGACCGCGCGTCGTCGCGTCACGTCACGTCGACACGTCGTCGACGATCGGCACATTCTTTCGGCACGTTTAACCGCTTTCCTTCGCCCTGCGCCCTTCGCCGGCCGAGAACCGAGAACTTTTAACCGGCGAGCGAGAGAAGAGTAGCACGCGCGCGCGCGCGCGTTTACGCGAAAACCGGAGAACCGGGGGAGAAACGTAAAAACGAGTCGCGGCAGGGGGGGGGGGGGGGGAGAGGAGAAAGGGTTTTCTAAAGCGCGTTCGCGGTGGAACAATCACGAGCACGATCGCGCGCGAACGCGAACCTCGGTGTATAACGACGAAACGCCGCTCCGATTGTGATAATAAGGCGTCGCGGACGCGCGCGCCCGAACGGGTGAAAAAAAGGGTACCTACGAATAATTCTACGCGGGCTACACGGCGTCGCGCCCTCAAGCGCGCTCGCTTCCACGGTCGCTACACTAACTGCCGCGGGACCCACTTGAATTTCGAGCCGGCGCGCCCGCGCCGGCCAATCAGCGGCCGGCGCCGCCGCCCGCGGCCCGCTTCACTGCGCAGGTGTGCCTGTTGCCCGTCGGCGCGCGGCGCGCGGCGCGGGGCGCGGGGCGCTATATATTTCATTCCGTTTGAAAAACGAGGATTTTTTTTTACCGACGCGATAATGATACTTTTAATTTTCTTTCGCCGGTTCGCTAAGTGAATGTCTCATTAGTATACTGTTGACTTTGAATGCCAATCGGAAAAATCGTGTGAAAGAACCACTTAGGAGATATAAAGACGCGCATATTTCTTTGAAATTAACACTCTAAAGTTAGCTCAATTTTTCAGCCGTTTCTTTGTACTATTTTAATGATTTATGTTCTCAGAGAAATGAATTGTAAAATTTTTTACAATAATGATTATTAATTAAAATTTCCAAATTTGTAATTTTATAGCGATTTTATTTCAAAGTTAAATTGTAAAGCATTACTAGCAGAAATAATTTTCATTTCGAATGATAGTGTATATATTCTGATATCAGTATAAATAGGCGAGAAAAAGGATGTTTACGGCAAAACACATCTAATGCAATAGATATTAACAAATAAGCTCATTTTTCGATTGCGTCGATCGAATGTTAGAACTTACACTGTTCACTAGAATTTGAAGAACAAAAATGAAAAATTTGTTTTAAAGAATGACTTTTAAAAATAAGTGAATCAAAATAAATCAAAAAACGGAATTTCTTCCATTATAATCTGAGACATTATTTTACAGATTAAATATTATTTGAATTTTGAATATATTCCTCTGGGTTTCTTTCCGTTCCCAACAAGCTACCGTTCTTTTCTTTGTTCTAAAAAAAAAAAGACAAAATTACATTCAAAATATTTTAATGATTGTAAAAATTGTAAAAAAAGTATTAAAACAGAAAAATTCAATAAAATAAATCTAACTTTCTCATGTAGCTATTTTGGAACAATAAAACATACTTTTAACGCCATCTCTTAGATCTTATTCAACTTTCTTTTAGACCTTACCAGAAGACATTACCCTGATAACACAATATCCAAACTCGAGACATAAGACGTCTTCAAAACGACATTATGTTGTCTGGGTAGATGGAGAGATGCATTTATTCTCACTTACTTTAAAAAAAAGTTTATTTCACAAATATTAGAATTATAACAAATATTAAAAATGTAAAAAAATTTGAAAAATTCAATCCCATTCAATCTCTTTGTAAAATTTTAAATTGTCTCTTTCATTTCAATTAGATTAGTATAAAATGAGAACTCGCGTGTTAAAAAGGGCAACTTTTATTATACAAAAAGTCGATCGTTTGTACAAAAAGGTGTATTCTTATATATTACATCGCTTGTAGTGAATCCAACGTTAAAATGCTTTACTCTGAGATGAGCGACTAATTGGAATAAAATAGCGTGACGCTTTATAATAAGGAACACACGAACACGCGGCTGCAATCATTCCAACATCGATTCACTTAAAAGCGATGGTAGCGTCACATACTTATCTGTCCTGCAATCACATACTCCGTCCAAGCAGGACCATAACAATAGTCTCAACACACAATTCACTACCTTCGCACCCTCGCACACGCAATAACTAGCTAAATCGTCATATATTATGCGCATCCTTATCTCGTTAAAAAAAGGGAGGAAGAGGAGAAAATGTAAAAATCAACGTGGCACTTTCTCGTAGAGTCGTTGCATTCTCGCGGAGAAGATCGGCAAAAGTAGTAGGAAACAAGTACGAGCAAGCCTGAGAGAAAATATGGACGAGATAACGTTAAAATCTCCTTGAGTTTGAAAGAAAATTAGAAGAGAATGTGAAAAGGATATCTTGCAAAACGTGTTACAATTATTACATTCTCCGTCAGCCTTTCAAACCAAATCGAAGATTCATTGTATAAAATACAAAATTGTTCCGTGTATTAACCACCGGTCTGCCAAGGAAAATGGGAGACACTTCCAATAAAATAACCTTCGCAAAAAATCTATCATAAATCTTTTTGATAAACTGACTATTATACATATCATACACATATTTGTCCCTGTCTTAATATACACACTCTCGCAAGTCGTTTCCCAGACAACACACGTCTCAAATCGGGACATAAGACGTCTTAAAGATGTCTAATAATATTCCAAATCGGACACATGACGTCTTAATGACGTCATGTGCCCGATTTGGAACATTGTGTTCCCTGGGTTATTTTTCAAATTACTATTATTCAAATTACTATTAAAATTTATTTATACTCAAAAAATGAGTGATAACAATCTTGATAGACCGGCTGTCAATTTATTTTACCGGCATTTTATCTCAACACGGACGAGCGTTCGGTGTTCGGCATAAAACAATAACATAACCGAACGTGACCGCTGCGAAGCCGACTGGTATATTACAGCGTAAGGAAACATCGATGAAAGAACCTAATCAAACGCTTATCATTCCACCACCGTTTTGCATTTGTACTTTTACGACCCCGCGGGCATTGCGGCAATCAATTTCACGGCGCGGAGAACCATGATCGACGGGACGATCGCTGCCGTCGTTATCATCATCGTGTCCGTTCGCGAAAAATCGTAAACACCTAAATAATTAAGCTAAATCGTATTAGGGTTACGACGATGAGGTTTGAGCTGCCAACATTTCCTCCTGCTGTATCTTTCTCCGGTAGTTATCCAGCGTAACTTGTATAGTCTTCTCAGAGTAACGGCAGTTTTCGGCACCGCAGGTACATGTGAAGGACTTGCACTTTATTATCCAGAATTTCTCGCCGTAATCGAAGCTAAGGGCAAACAGATCCATATTGGTCTATCGTGCGATGTTAGCAGAAAGGTACGTGACGTAAAAAAAAGCAGATCAGATTGTGATGTGTGAATATTCTTAAAGATACCGTCACCTTAATCCGTCGTGCGTTATTATATACATACGTAGATAAAACAATGTCCAAAATCGAGACATAAAACGACTTAAAAGACGTCATTAAGACATCTTTAAGACGTTTTATAATATGACGTCTTTAAGATGTCTTAATGATGTCTTTAAGTCGTTTTATGTCTCGATTTTGGACATTGTGTTATCTGGGTAGATATAGCAAGTCATATACACTAATTAGAAGTCGCGTTAAATAAAAAGAAAGATTAAATCTTGAAATCTTGCAAAATTATGTCAAGAAAAATGAGAAGGCAATTTATGATTGTTTTAACTCTCTAGAACTCTAGAGAAATAAATAATCAAATGAAAGAACGAATAGAAGTATAATCTGTTGAAAGATTATAAGGGTTATTTAAATATTATTATCAAATATCTTTATTGGATGAACGTAAATCCCGAACTACATCTATCGTAATGTTCACCGTAAGCGATCGTAACGCTCGTCGTAATAGCTATCGTAAGTTCATCGTATGAGTTGATTCAGCTTGAACTCTTACGATTATGACGCTTGTCTACCGTTACAACATAACTTAATCTGTCAGTTTTCTCGACGTGCAAAGAAAAATGTTTATAGACATATTGGCATAGGTATACGGTTTACGACGACTTCATTGCTTACGACCACGATCAAAGCGTTACGATAGATGTAGTTCTAGCTTAACATTTTGTCAGTCTACATTTTAATAAAAAGTGAACAGAATCGGATTACTCTGATGTCACAATATATATTTGAGTCACGACACAGAATTAAGAGACGAAATATGAAGTAACAAAGGTGAAAAAAAAACTACAACTACATACTGTCGATCGAACGAAAAACAAAACGTTAAACAATTTATTAACGGAAAGTGCAACAATGTGTTGTGTCCTGTTAGTTAATTTAGAGGCTCAGTGATTTTCGGCATCTCAATGACTTCAAATTCACCGTTTTTTAACATACCCGAGCTCTTCATCTGCCTCGATGTCGCGATTAGCGAAAAACGCTATCCTTGGAAAATGCAGATCCTGATGTTCGACGAACACTCGCACCGGCAATAGATTCGGCGCGCACGAATGATTAATGAACCGAGCAATATTCCCGTAACGTCTCGCGTCTATACAATACGTTTCTCCATCCTGCACATAAAGTAAACAATTTTTTTGTCAATCTAGAATATAATCACTTATAGATTTAATAAGCTGTATAACACCAATGAGAAACAGTTGTAAAGAAACAAATTGTAAACGTAGAAGATTCGAAACAACAATCTTCTGTTTTCAAAAAGGTGTCTAAAATCTCCGAACAGAGTAGCCAAAACAACTTTTTTACATCTCAGATTATGTAAGTATCTAAATATAGAATTAAAATTTATGTAAAAATGATTACACAAAAAATGGGAATGCGTCAGATAGTTTGTCACTTTGTCAAAGAAACGACTCGATTTTGATTCTCTGCGTATGAAAAATTTTGAGTAAAAAAACTCGTCATCCCATAATAAAAACACAAACAGATTCCAAGATAATTAGATAATAAATTATAGTGTTACATTCTTTGAAAGACGGCAAAATCCAAGAGAAAAAATATTTCCTAAGAGAAGAATTATGGAAACAATATGCGTGAATATTGGAAGCAAAACTACTTTTCTTTTTTCTAAACCAAAGTAAAAATTATGTATCTTACTCTATTGTCCAAATCGAACAAGTAGGAGTCATCTTCGCGATGATCAGCCTCGGAATCTGAGATTATCTCGCCGACATATTCGCAAACATAAGTGCCTTTAGGAATATGCCGGAGAGTTCGGAGGCCCCAACCCTTGCCCTTTGTGCGAAACAATTGAAACCGTTGCGTCAGCCCATGCTGAACCACGCGGTTGTTGCACGTAATACGATTACAGTCACAAGCCGGATTACATTCAAACAACATTGGTGGATCTATGACAGAAATATTATTTGTTAAGATCTTGATAAAATTATTTTCGTAAAATAAATTCCTTTGCTACTAATTCAATTAATGTATTTATGGACTTATAAAAAGTTTTTGCTCTTACGAATAAAATTGTTTTAATGTTGATATTTAAATAGGGATACCTGCATAATTAAATTCTGGAACGAGTTTTCCCTCCTCATCATACCAACATCGCAGACTTATATTTCCGCACAAACACTTTTCGGTACTGCAATTATCCTCACATCGACAAGACTGCAATGATGTAATTGTGCGGTCTACATTAATATTGCTCGTGAAACAATTCTCCGTTACGTAAAGAAAATCCGTCGGCTTGTCCTCGGAATCGTATCCATTAACACATTGTATAGGATTTGTTTCCTTTCCGCGTGAAATGTCACTGTAAAAAAACAGAAATAAAATTTTTGTAGAACGAAAGATCAGACAAATAAAGCTAATTTTTATTTATTATACACGTAATCTTTGATGTTGTAACTAAGTTAACAAAATTCTCGACAGAAATTGCGTAATAAAATTCTTAATATATCTAACTCGACAACAACCATTAAGGCAATTCAATTTTTTCGTAAAATTACAGCGTATGTCATTCATATATTTTCTTATACAGATATAATCGTGCGTACTTGATAATATATACTTACTTCGTCAATATCTTAACTGTCTTTTCCCACATATGCTCAAAGAGTTCGTTGACTTTTGCGTTCAATCTCAAAGCAGCCATAGTATCGCCATCCGAAGCGCAACAGTTCACCGCGGTTTCGCCGGCAGCATTCACCTCTCCTATTTTAGCACCGCGTGCTAGCAGTAGAACACTGACTGCATATTGATCCTGTCTAGCTGCTATGTGTCTAAAAGAAGAAGAAATCAAATATTATTTTATAATTAAAGAGAATCATCTCAAAACTTCAGCTTATTTAGAATAGTCATTGGTCACAATAGATGTTTCTGTTCGCGTAATATAAAAAAATAAAAATAAAAAAAAATTTTCAGAACACAATCTACAACAGAGACACAAAACGTACAACGGAGTATCACCATGGACGTTGACAGCGTTCACATCGCATCCCTCGTTGAGAAGCATTTCCGTGATGTCGGAACTGCCGCTGAAGGCACTCCAATGCAACGCTATATTCTGCTCGGCATCACGGATAAGCGGATCGCACTTCTTGTCCAATAAATACCGTGCGACATCCGTATGACAAAATTCACACGCCCAGATTAAACTTGTCCAGCCCCCATCGTCAACAGAATCTGCAAATAAAAACGTAAGAGAACGTAAAGCATTAAATCTATAAAAAAGCAAGAAACAGATTGTTTATATTTAGAGACGAGCTCGGCACAACACACATTACCTACTAATGTTCTCGGCACTTTACACTCAGTCAGAATGATTTTGCAGACTTCTAGGTGACCGGACTTGGCAGCCATATGCAAGGCGGTCATACCGTCCTCGCCCTTTAATGTTACATCGGCGCCTATCCTGACTAGGTACTTCACAACGGCAGCATTACCCTTACTCGCGGCTAGCATTAGCGGAGTTAATTGGTTCCTATCCATTACATCTACTTGAGCACCAGCTTGAACCAGAACGTGTACACATGACAAATGTCCTTTATCTGCTGCTATGTGCAGACCGGTCCGGTGAGCGTAATCCCGGAATGTGTGATTTGCATTGTAACCACATGCTGGAAACCATAAATCGTACATTATAGCGATACTTATAGCGATATAATTAAGCTATCAAAGTAAATAACATTTTCATCATTCGCTAAAAATATAATTTACAAAGAATCTGAATCGGAGAATTGTAAATAATAAAACCATTTAGCTCATCTTAGTCTATCTTCTGAATAAAACATTTATTTAATGAGAGATTTAAGATAAATAGATAAAAATAGAAATATAAAGGAATATGCAAATTTCCAAGCTTGGAAATTTCCAACTTCACAAACTCAGTTATCATCGATTTCTTTTAATTTTCCTATTTCTCAAGTATCTACTTACCTAGTACATTCACTAACTTTTCAAGATCCCCGTTTTTCACGGATGTGTAGAGACTCATGATGGTATAACGCTCTGGCCTCTCAGCATTAATCGACGGTTCGGGTATCTTGATAACGTCAGGCTTGATCAACGGGCTGGGCGGACGCTCAGCCAATTTCGTGTTGTCACCTTTTCCAGGTAAGCTCATCTTTGCAGATGGCAATTTGGAAAATTTTTTACGCGTAGGAATGAAAACCGGCCGCCGCATGCCGTTCATAGTCACCATCACATCATAGGCTGCTGTCTCACTGCCGCAGTGCGGACAGACGCCTTTCTTGTTCGGATAGATCTCACATTCGCGATGGTACTGGTGACCATTGGCACACTGCACGAACCTGCCTTGGGAGCAGAACATGCCGCAGGAAGGACAACAATTGTGACGCAGCAGTCGTTCCTTGTGCATACGACAAAGGATAATGAAAGGCACGCGTGTGCTGGGTCGTCGCATCGCCACGTCGTTGGCGTCCACCTCGTTACAGCAGCCCACCACCCGGCTGTCGATCGAGTCGATAGCAGTACAATAGAGTGGTCCCCCGGTACCGGTTATCGTCACGTATAACTGAGATCGCACTTGGCATAGGCACAGCATGGATTGCACGTACGTCTAAAATTGATGAAAAAAGAATAAGGATCCTAGTCAAAGTTTGTTGTAAACATTTTTTTCCTACTGACTGGGAGAGTATTATACGGAGATGTAATGATATTTATCAACTTGTGCCGATCGAACGAGGTTTCAATTAAATGATTTAAATAAATATATTGTATTAATACAATCTTTCACATATTTAAGAATTTGTAATCCCGATCTACTAGACTAATATTAGATTAAGCAGCTTAGATGACAATACTGACTTCACTCATAATCGCCGTTGATTCCGGCTTTGATGCCTGTCCTTCCGCGGGACTTGGGCTCGGCATACTCCGGCGAGTTCGTTTGACTGGCATGTCTATAATAAAATTGATATAAAACATAGTTAATAAATAAAACACTGCTTTACACATTTATAACAGAGGATAGAGAGAAGAGAAATGTAAAATAATGTCTTAATACTTCAACGGCAAACTTTTCATTTTAATTAATTTTTTATTTGTCTTTTAAGGTAGTCCTTTCGCAGCACCTAGTCAAGTAACAGTCCGTCATGAGGTAATTGAAAACAAACATATTGCAACATCCCAATAATTATAATAATATAAAATATGATTTTACACGCACGATTTAATCGTATTTAATTATTTACTAATTAACAAAAATATCACAATAGT